TATTAACTACAAGAAACAAATCAATACAAACAAATGAACGAAAGTAATAGACTATCCTAAAACTCCTAATAAACAAAACACTCACAAGTCACGTCTATGAAAAATACAACGCTTCATTTTTTTACAACAATACCAACTTTTATTCCACCATCGAAAGAAACACGTGAAGCATGCGATTGCAATCTTAAGAGAGATCAAAAATTAAATCAAGAATATTAATCCACTCCTCTAGCATAGTAGATCTGGGCTTCGAGCGTGCAACCCTATTAGCTATGACGTTCAACGCCCTCGACACCTCTTTGACATTAATGTCAGAGTTTTCACCAACAGTTGACAGTCAGATTGAACTGCATTCTGATCCATATTCTTGTCATCTTGTGCTAATTTTAGACCTTCCAAGAGAACTTTCGCTTCCGCTTCAATCGAGGGGGAACAAAGAAGAGTCTCAGCTCGTCCATCACACACTTTTCTATGGTGGTTAACACAGACGTTTGGGGGGGGGGGGGTAAGGGAATTCTACTCTTGAAAGTAAACTCATTTCTTGCCTTCCAAATATTCCAGCATAGGAATACAATATGAATTAGAGAGTCATTGAAAATGGTATCTTCAAGAGCACAAATCCAGTCAAAAAACGAGGTATTATGAGGAGGGAGCGGAAGAGATGGGAAGATAGCATTTCAGAATCACTAGCATGCTGGAAGTAAAAGAGGGAGTGGATTGTTACGAGAATCTAGCCATCGTAACTATTGGGCCTCAATTGTACATGGGTGTTGGGCCGTGCTTGGGCCGACATGGCACGGGCACGCTTCGGGCCCATTTATTTCGTGTCGTGCTTGGCACGGCCCGTCAGTTTTCGTGTCGTGCCATGCAAGCCCATTTGTTAACTTTGCTAGGCCTGGCCCAGGCCCGGGCACGGTTCGAATCATGTCGTGCCTATTCGTGCTTGTGTCATGCTCGTATTCGTGTTTAATGAAAAAGACGAAAACAAAAGAGATAATGAAAAAGAAGGTGAAAGTAGGACGGAGGAAGATAGTATTAACCGATAATGTTTGAGAAAAGTAACAAATAAGGAGGGAAAGAAAACTGGAAGTATAGCGAGTGTGATTTGGCTTTGTTTAATTCTTTGTCCATTTTTACTTATGTTAGTAATTACGTATATATCTTTATGACATTTCTAACAACAACAAATAATTAGTTTTCTCCTTATGTTTTGTAATATTTGAACCTATAATTCTTTTTATATTTATTTTCTATCAAATAAATATTATTTTTGTGCCATGTCCATTCTTATACTCAAGAAAGTCTCGAAAATATTAGGCCCGACACGACCCACTTATATACCGTGCTCGTGCCCGTGCCCGTGCCCATGAAGTTTAGGCCCGGCACGGCCCATAAATTATTTGTGCTCGTGTCGGGCTGGCCCATTTATTTCGTGCCTGTGCTCGTGCCGTGTTCTAACCGTGCCGTGCCATGCTAGTCCGTGGGCGGCACGGCCCGGTGCCCACGTACAGCCTCAATATGGTCTTGGTAATGTTATTGTTTAGTATTTTAGTAGTAATTGTCTTTATTATTGCTTTCATTGTTCAAGTAGGATTTGGTTTATTATTTAGGAGTTTATTATTATTTCCTTGTAAGTTGGGTTTCATGTTTTGGGTAGGAAAAATGAGAAGGAGGCCGCCGGCCTATTAGGGGAAGGATTGGGATTTTGGGTTTTCCTAGCCTATAAATGTGTACTCTGTCTTTCGTTTGATATATGTTGAAGATTGGAATTGATTAGTAGTTGTAGTTATCTTCGTTCCTCTGAATATTCTCTTCGTTCTTACTCTCTTTCTTACGAATATCTTTCAACATCGACGACGCAAGTTACGTGAAGGTTCTCACTGGAGAAATACACGTAACAATTGGCATCAGAGCCTGGTCAAACTAACATGATTCGTGAATATGGCGCCAAAGAAGTCTACGCAATCAACGACTACCTCCGACCAGCCGGCTCGACGAGGAGCTCCTCCAGGGTCTTCTCCACTCGCAGGAATCCACCACCATGCGAATTGACGAGATTGGCCGACGACATTAGGGATTCGAGGAGGGAATCCTGAAGATTGAGACCACCGTGGCGCAACTTCAGGATACCATCGCGCAGAATCAGAATCCATCACGCAGAGTTAGGCATCCATGGCGCAGCAACTTCAGGCATCAATGGCACAACAGCTCCAGGAGGCCATGGCACGACAACATGCAACATTCATCCAGCAACAGTAAGCCATGTTGGAGATGATGCGCCAGTTGATCACCACCTCCAATCGGAGAAGATGACCTTGACTCCAAAGCCAGGTTCGACTAAGGACGTGCCAGCTGGGGAGAAGGTTAAGGGCGTAATGCGAGACGACGAAGTAACCGGTGGGAAGATTGTCGCCAAAACAAGCAAAACAATCAGCGACGGTCACAACGGAGATGAGGCGAACGACGAGGATTCGGTCACGGTGACCGACTCGAAGGAGCGCTCGCGACCGATGCCAAAACGACGCAAAAGAAGGAGGACGGCGTCACGGGGAGACGACGGAGCCGAGGGTTTCTTTTCCTCCGGGATTCACCAGCGGCGATGTGAGTCCGGGGAGTTTTGACTCAGGGCTCTTGGGTGGAGGGGTACTCAATAGCAGGTCGGAAGCCGGAGTAGGGGTAGGCCGCGACCCAACTAGGGCACAGACGAAGGCGTAAACGTGGGCCAGGCTCGGGTGGGTCCAACAACAGAGCGGGCCGGATGGAGGGTGAATGGGCCGAGCGGAGCAGGAGGCCTAGGAAGACCAGGCGGGCCGAGCTGGCCGGGAGGATCGGACGGACCAAGCGAGTTCAGGTGGCCAAACGGGCCAGGGTGGACGAGTGGGCCTGGAGGGCCATGCAGGCCGGATTGGCCGATTGGGCCGGGAGGCAGATTAGCCCCGGCGGAAGGTGGAGGCGGGCCGCGAGACCGTGGAGCTGGGTTAGACCATTCTTACGGGTACGGGTCGGTTCGACGAACAAACTGGTTCGTTTTGATAGAAGCTGGCTCGACTAGAGTTTTCGATATACAATGGAAGCGAGGATCCATCTAGATGGTTTGCACGACTAGAGCAGTTCTTTAAATTTCAGGAAACTCCAGAAGAACATAAGGTGCTCTTGGCATCTTATCACATGGAGGGAGACGCTAACCAGTGGTGGTAATGGTTGGATCGCGCTTATACGACGTCGGGGTTGACCATGACATGACTCTAATTTCGAGAGGAGTTATGGGCGAGGCTTGGGCAGTCCGACAACGTCTCTTGCCATGAGGCACTTACCAAAATCAAGCAAACCGATTCCTTGAGCGACTATTTGTTGACTTTTGATAAATTGGGTAACCAGTGCTTGGGATGGACCAAAGAACGTTAGTGGGTTCATTCGTTGGTGGGCTCAAACCGAAAATATCTGATGCAATCCGCATGTTTAAGCCATAAATTGTATGAGAGGCAATTCGACTTGCCAAGGTGAAAAACGAGGAGCTGGTGAAACATCGAGGCATGCAAAGGAGTCAACCGCGAGTACCCTTGGAGACCGCGACCGAGCCACCACCACCGCCACCACGAGCCGCACCGCCACACAACCCGAATGCTAGGAGGATGTCTCCAGAGGAGGTAGCAAGACGCCGTGCGCAAAGACTCTGTTTCCATTGCGAAGAACGTTTCATGATTGGCTATCGTTGTGCCAACAAAAAAGTGCCACTAATGATAGGCGCATGCTCGACGAGGAGGAGGGTCAATTCGTTCATGAAGATGACCAACCTTGAGTGCAAGGTTGCTGCAAAGTGGGGAGGAATGTTACGAGAATCAAGCCATCGTAACTATTTGGCCTCGATCTGGGCTTGGTTATTTTATTGTTTAGTATTTAGTAGTAATTGTCTTTATTATTGCTTTCATTGTTCAAGTAGGATTGGTTTATTATTTAGGAGTTTATTATGATCCTTGTAGGTTGAGTTTCATGTTTTAGGTAGGAAAAAGGAGGAGGTCGCTGGCCTGTTAGGAGAAGGATTGGGATTTTGAATTTTCCTAGCCTAAAAATATGTGTTGTCTTTCGTTTAATGTATGTTGAATATTAGAATTCATTAGTAGTTGTAGTTATTTTCATTCCTCTGAATATTCTTTTCGTTCTAACTCTGATTCTTACGAATATCTTTCAACATCGACGACGCTAGTTATGTGAATGTTCTCACCGGAGAAATACACGTAACATGGGTAAGGGATTCGTACGGGTTTTGACAAACTTGACAAATCTGGTTTGGGGCACATTTCTGATGAAAGATTCTCTCTTTAGCTGCCAACCCGTTTTGGAGCATCTCCATATGAATAATTTGAGTTTTGGTGGGAGCTTCAACCCTAGATCAATTTCCAATTCTCTTCATTCCCTGTCGGTTGAAAGTTTGCGTTTGCTTTATGAAAAGCATGATAAGCAGTTTTAATCGAGAACCCACCATCTTTGGTGAGACTCCGGCGTAGAAATCATCTGACCCTTCTTCTCCAATTGGATTCGAAGGATAGCTTCCACAAAAAATTACAACACTTCATCAATGATCAAACTGGTAGCCCTTTGACTATTTGCACTCCATTGTCTCAACATAATAATCCCTTCTTTTTCTTCTTCTTTATAGTGAGAACATATAATTCCTTCTATAAAAACAAATAATTCCTAAATACAAAAATAAAATTGCTTCTCAACTCTCAATATCTTCACAACAGTATCGTTAGCGAAACTGGTGGAAGGATTTATAAAATAAGAGAAACGGACGGCAGGGGTTAACGCAACCTCCGTCCGTTACCGTCAGCCAGGGGCCAATTAGTCATTTGCCTAGAGAAAAAAGAAAATGACGACTGACGCTCCAATGAGAAGGGTCGTTGTCGGTCGGTAATTTGCTACAGACAGAGAAGCGGAAAGAGACAGAGAAATGGAAGACTTTTCTTTTCAATTGCCCCAAATTAATTCGTAAAATATCATAAACCCTAGAAAACAAGGAAAAGGAGAAGGCCCCAAAGAGATATTTTCTTTTCCCACTTAAAATAACCCAGTAGTATCTGCTTCTCCACTAACTTCGCGCCTCTAAAACCCTTCTCCGTTCTGCTCCCCCTCTACTTCCTCTCGTCGTTGGTCGTCGGAGGCAGGCCGTCGCTAGCTGGCTTGCTCGGTTCGCGCTTCGACTGCGAGTCTGTCTTCGAGATGCATTCACTTCGTTCGATCCCTGTTCAAGGGCTTGGTGATTTGGTGGAAAACCGCGGTAAGTCCCCTTCCAGATCCCGAATCGCGCTGCTTTCGTTTTCAAATTCCTTCCTTTGGTTTTCTCGCTTGATTCGTATGATTTGAATTGCGAATCCGGTGGATCTTCTCGATTGGGGATTCCTCGGATTTAGCTTTGGTCTGTTGCTTGCAGTCTTTTTTCAAATCAGGGCTTCTGTTCTGTTCCGTTTTTTATCCGATTCCGATGCTGCACGGTACCCATGTTTGGCTGGGGTTTTCATCTTTCTTTTCCGGTTGAGGGGATTTGAATTACTAGTATTTTTCCCGTCCCTTCCGCAGTTTGATTTGTCATTCCGGGACGGGAAGCATAGTTTCTGTGTTCGTCTTGCTCTTTGTGGGTGAATTGGGTTTATGTTTCTGGGGAGGGTTTGTGCTTTCCGTAGCCAAGAGGAGTTATGGGGTCGAAATGCAATTACTTTTGTGGTGCTTTACTTGGTCTTCCCCTTGCTCTATACGAATTATTGCGGTTCCAACCTTCTGATGCGGCCTTCTTCTGCCCAGCAGCTCTCCCGTACGTACGTGATGTTTTCAGTTTCACTTTCTAGTGCCACGGCACTTTTGGAGATGGCTTCATAAGGTGCATGTGATTGGGGAACCTTTGCTTTCTGCACCTGTGTTCCTCCAATTGATCATCATGGGAGCTGCCGAAACTGTTGTGACTAAGAAGATTTTGAAGATAAAATTTTCCACCCAGAAGGTTGAAGTTGACCCTGGGGCAAGTTCATGTGGATTGAAGCAGAAGTTGTGTGCTGATCTTACTTCTCAAACTCGGATGGGTACATCAGAAAATGCTAAATTTGCCGTTTCGTGCTCTAAAAAGCGTGGCCCGTCAATGGATATAGATGGTCATCCATGTAAGAGATGGAAAATGGATCGTACAGTAACACAGCAGTGCTTGGCTCTTCTGAAAGTTCTTGTTGGACATCCAGACGGTTGGGTTTTCTCTGAGCCAGTGGATCCTGTCAAACTTGCGATTCCAGATTATTTCACTATCATATCCCATCCTATGGATCTAGGGACCATAAAGTCCAAGCTGTCTAAGAATGCATATGCGGGTGCTGAAGAATTTGCAGCTGATGTTAAATTGACGTTTGATAATGCTATGCTGTATAACCCACCGAGTAACCCTGTGCATCAGCAGGCCATGGAGCTTCATAAAATTTTTGACACCAGATGGAATTTATTAGAGGATAAATGGAGTTACGAAATGTCAAAATATGGAAAGGCGAAATTACGTGGTGCGCATGTTAAGGGAAACGACTGTATGAAACAGAACTGCCCCAGAACTCCACCTCCTTGCAATGCTACTCTATCTAGGAAGCCATCAAAAGAGACGACGGAAAGGGGCTCTCTACATGCCCAGGCTGTTGAGGTAAGTATTCAGTTTATCTTTTTCAACTTGAGCTAAATCAGCCAGTGTTATTAGCTGGGCGACTGGTTTCAGTCACAACTCACGATGGCTGCTTTCTTTTCCATATCCTTCGATTAAGTGGTGGTGTAAAATATTCGGTCTGTTTTGTTTGCTAGGTTAAGAATGCCAAAGCTGCTGATAACTGTGTACCGAAGTCCGTGAAAGGTATGAAGTGGCACCGACTGTGGTTTCTGGTTTATGGCTCTTTACAGGAGCTAATCAGTAGAATTCTTATGGTCAATTGAAAAGGTCCTGGACATGTGCATGGTCTTGTCAATTGCAAACCACCAATGAGGATAGTGGTTCGCAAATGTGGTACTTGTGGCAAGGGCCCCTGTGGATGTAGCCTTCAGATGAATTCAGTTAATGCATTGTCAGGTAGTTGATTCTCCTCTCCCCCTTTCTTTTCCCCTCTTTCTCTTAGGTGTATTATGTGACTGATGATTGATGATTGATGATTATCTTTGTGTATGTCTTGCTTCAGATGCATCCATTGCTGGAGCATTTAGCAGGGATCTTTCCCAAAGCACTGATGCCAGAACAGTGGTATGACAGAAGTTTATGCTATTGCATCTTTTTTTGTCTTCTTAGTGGCCATACAGTGGCAATGCATGACATCTTAATGTGTAATTTGAATAGGACTATCCGCCAGAGGTTATCTCGATTTCCCTGATGAGCAGGTCAGATCCAGATTCTGATGGTGAGGTCTTTATCCCTTTTCTACTCAGAAATCATGCACCTCACCACTTTCGGTGACTGATTGTGTGATGGAACTTGGAAAAGGTGCCGTGAGTGCTTTAGATGAAGACAATTTATGTCCTAGTTCGGAGCTTGTAATGCCTATTACGGATGCAACTTCTGGAGAAGGTTTGCTTCACTTCTGGTCTCAATCATCAATTATTTCATTTGATTTGTTTCTTTCTCTGATTTCATTAGTGTTTTGGACTTGTGTTTAGATTGGAGATCTCATGTTGCTGAAGCACATCAAATGTCACCGAAAAGAGCCCTACGTGCTGCAATGATTAAGGAACGATTTGCATACACAATTCTGAAGGCAAAGCATAATACGCTTCTTGATCATGTAATTCGTAGTCTCCTCTTCTACCTCCTCCCTCTTTTTCATGTGCTTATTGTGTACAAGTCCTGATCAAGCAGTTGTTTGCTGTAATCTAAGTCTTCGCTCATGGTTTATCCTAACATCCCATTATTCAGGGTGACAAGGCTGAATCAATAAAGATGAAGCGGGAAAAGGAGAGGTTGGAAAGGATGCACCATGAAGGTATTTGCTATATCATAATAAAGCAATTAGATCAAATTACCTTGCTTTCCGTATTACTATATTAATTTGTGCACACTAAACTGGTTTTTAGCTGAAGTTGTTTCCTTGTATCACATTCATCTCATTTTTTCTGTACTTGGAGGTGTGGTGAAATGTTCCAATGCTGGGTTTTCTGTGACGGGAGCGAACCATTTCTAAATCTTAACAATCTGCAATAAAATTAACTTGATTTTGATTATCATTCTCCGTCCTCGATGAAAAGCTTCATATGATTGATGAGAGGGAATAAGTGGGTGTCATTTGATTGTTAGTTGCTTGCTTCCTCTTTGTCCTCAAATTTCTTGTGTAAGTTTTTCCCTTTTTGAATTATTGCAGAGAAAACAAGAATTGAAGCCCAGATCAAAGAGGCTGAAGCTGCCTCCCAGAGGCAACACGAGATGGAATTGAAGGAGCGAAGGCAACGGGAAAGAGAAGCCGCCCGGGTTGCAGTGCTGAAGGTTGTTGACTTTTGCTACCTTAATGGCTTCACACCTCAAAATCATAATTCATTTCGTCCCATCATAATACGACTGGTTTCCTTGGTCGAAAAATACAATAATTTCAGGTTGAGAGAAGTGTTGAGATTGATGAGAACAAAGAAGTACTGAGAGAACTCGAGGATCTAAGTGGGTGCAGGCTGTTGTTAGTCAGTCCAAGAGTGGGTGAGAGAGCATACAGAGTAAGAGAAAGTGAAGGAGGATGTGGCTTTGAAAGCCCCTTGAGCCCACTGGAGCGATTAGGTCTGTTCTTCAAGGACGACGAGACCGACAATGTGGATGAGTTGTTAGATGGTGATGTCGAGGACGGCGAGCTGTTGCCTTGAAAAAGCCTGCAGTCCAAAATGATTCCTGCTTGTGTTCCATATTATTTTTTCCTTCTTTCCTGAGCTGCCTCCTGTTAATAAAATATCTTTTGCAGAGAGGAAAGGGGAAGTTTTGATTGATTGTAAATGAGTATAATTTTGTAGTCGTTGGTTATAGATTAGGTTGGTTCTGTAGCGTGCACAAGTTGCACTTGTGATGGAATGGGTTGAAGAATAGGTTCGGTTCGATTCGTTTAACGTCCAGTTAAGTTAACTGAAGTTTGATGCTGGATCTTGTTGCCCCTAGTCGAGAGTTCTTTTGGAACGAAATTTCTGATCTCTGGTTTTAACCGGCTATATCTCGGATGTGGAAAATGGATATTGAAGATACAAGAACTGAACGCTCTGGAACACAGCATGAAATTGGTTCGGTAGATACAGACATCTCCCGGCAACCGGCATTGCCCTATACTGGAGGCCAGTAAACAAATTTAGTGAGAAGCATTAATCATTTAAGCTTGTGCTCCACCTGCTAAATCCGCTTTGTGGCCAACACCAAGATGAATACGGTTCGAGTAATTCCAATTTTCAAACAAACATCCAACACCGCTGGTTATATTCGAAGCCAAAAAATAGTTGCATAAAACTCTGTAAAGCTCTATATGTCCCTACTTCCTGCTAACTACCACATCTTGACGCAAGTGAGCCAAAATTACGATACGAGATAGAAGTTCCGTCATATGAAGAGTCTCCCCCTGATTGTCCTCAGCCAGGACAGACTTCGGTTACAGGAGATACGAAATCAACAGGTCAGATAGTGTAGCGATTCTTGGCACCTCTGTCAAGCTTCTTTGCATCATCCTGAAAATAATAGCAAGATACAAAAGTAAAACACCACTTCAACTTACTTGCATATCTTGAAAAGGAACAGACATCATTAGCAAACACCACACTTACATGGAATATGAACCCCATACTATCATTGGAATCAAGAAATTCCTTCCATTGTCTCCCGATGCTCAGCTACAGGCAACATTTTCATTGATCATGCACTAATAAGTAAAGAAGTCATCAAGTGCATATATGTATCCAATGCTGCATACCTGAGCGGCTTCATTTGAAGCATTCTTGGTCCAAAGAGAAATCTTCTCCTGCCTAGCCCTCACATTGACGACAGCCCCACAAATCTCATCTCCATGTTCGAATTGCTCCCCAATCATAGCTAGCAGCTAAAGATAACAGAGTATAAATGAGAGACGCACGATGCTCATAGGCACCAAAATGAAGAGACTTAAAGACTGACTAAAAGCACACCGTATATAGCCAGCTGGTATCAGATTTCGTTTTCCCAAAGGTCAAAGTCCACTTCCCTCCACCAGCACAAACAGGGTCCTCCCACTTCGGCTCAATCTTGTGCTTGAAGCAGTAGAAGTCTGCTCCACCAGGGAGCTTGCTTGGATGATGAATATTGTTGTAAACACTAAACCCAAGATAAAAATGTCAATCAACATATAAGCTTAGGGATCTTATAAACTAGTATTCTAATGAACCAACAAAATCTATTGTTTCATTCCAAGCGTTGAAAGGGGGAAAAGGTGAACATGATATGCTTTAGTGATTTCAGAAGTCGGAACTAATTTATCCCAATTCTCCCATGAGTTAAACAATGCCGAACTGTTGCCCTTGTCAGGAAGGCTGTCAGGAAATCGATAATACCTAAGATATGCTGGGAAAGAAAAGATCAGGATTGGTTTTCACGGCTTTGAACAAAAACTAAACAGAAAAACTGCGGGAAACTAGGCTTCTAGCTGTCAAGTTTGTCTCTGAAACTATATGAAACCAGGTTCCCAAATTTATAGCTACTAATGACCGCAAAGAACTGTATGGAACATCAACCTATGGTGACTTTCACGCTGAACCCCCTAAGAAATGAATGTCCAAGTTACTACTAGAGAAGCAAACTATCAATTACCTTGAGATCTAGCAACAACACGTCACAACTGAGAACAAGTCCTCTAACTAATCAACCAAAATTTGTTTCTACACGAATTGAGTGCACAAGCTATAACCATGTGCTCCCAGTAACAATCCAATAACATCCAAGGACATAAGCAATTGAATTCCTAATAAGAGAACCGAGTAACACTTAAAGGCAAAACCTTTTGAGGACATTCATTCAGTTTATGATCTCTAGCGAAAACGAGAACCATAAGTAGATTCCAGATAAAGAATAGCAAGAATCCCCATCAGACATATTACTCAATAAAAAAAAGCCAGACCAATGACCAAGCCATCGAACTCCTGAGATATTCACTTGCCACTATAGACATTCAATCACACTCAACCTAAGCACGAAACCCCCAATCTTCTCTCCTTCAAAATGACATCAAGCTCGAGCAAAGAAATTAACAAACAACGAGCTCGTAAACCACACCAAGATCAGGCCTTTCCCGTCGACAAACGCGCAAAGGAAATAAAAACAAAAGAATCATCACCTCCAGAATTCCTCGACGGTGGAGAAGGTGTAAATGGAGCGCATGGAGCTCCCCCAGGCGGTTTGCTTAGATTTGGCGGATGGATTATCGAACCAGAAAGTCCATTGATGTTCGAGCAGGTGCGGCTGGTAAGGCACAGCGCTTGATTTCTTGGACGAGCTGTCGTCGTCCCCGACGATCTCTCCCTCCTCCGGCACATCGTCGCTCCCGGCGACGTCATCGGCGTGTGGCTTAGGGTTAGCGTTGGCGACCTCTTCAGAGGTCGGTGCCGCCGATTTCTGCGACTCCTCCACCGCCATACCGCGATCGCTTGATGGCGGGTGAGTCGGCGTTTCTTGGCTGCTTTTTTCGACCGGAGATTTTTCGTTTACTCGTGACCAATTTGTTGGGATTGGGGGATGCTGTTCGAGAGAGAGAGAGAGAGAGAGGAGAGAAGAGACGGTGGCTTGAAACTTAAAAGATGAAGGTAACTGCAGTGGAGGAAGCCGAAACCCGAAATTGCATGATGATATGGAACAGTCGGGTCGGAATGAAGATCCGGAGGCCCGATCATTAGTTGCTAAAGCTGCTTCTGCGGAGCCCATTAGATGGGTACTGAGAAGGCCCAATTTTTTTCAATAACCTTTCCTTAAGGCCCAGTTTTTCGAATATTGTAATCTTAATGGTTATAACACTCATCAATAATGATGGATTATTTGATTATTTAATGATGCAATTATTTAGTTGTTTATGGTTGAAATGAAAAATGAGATAAAACAATTAGTTTTTCGAAAGTCGGTAGTATAAAGGGTAATCATTCGTATGGCACCTAGTCCACCCTAAAAGTTGAAACTACCAAAGTGTAGGATATGATCTTGGATCGGAATAGGTGGTGGAAACCTTCATGACACACTCAATTGCATATGTTTTTATTTAAGTTGCTATACCAATATGGAAAAACTAGGGGAAATAATACCTAAAAATGCCTTTTACTATATGCTTTACTCGTGTTAGTTGCTAGTCTAGATCTAATAATTTCATACTTTGTTGGTTACTTAAGTTCATGCTCAATAGCTGGTTTGTCTTGAATTCGAGGTACCTCGCAATTGCAAAATGTTTTCTAAAATACAACGGCTAGTTCGAAGTAGTGGGAGAAGAAAGGCCCTACGGGAATACGATCTCGATAGTATTCATATCTATCGAGTTAAATTTGAAGGGACTAGATAGTGTGACAACACCCCTTGTGTTGTTATTGTAACAATACTAGTCTCCAACCAATAGGAAGCTAGGATTGTGATGACTTTTTATTATCTGAGTTGACCTAGTGTAAAATCAAAGCAGGGATATAATTGTCATTATGAAAATATATTTAAATAAGAATAAAAAATAAAAAATTTAAAAATTTAAAAGATATTTTTTTATTTTCTGCCCAAAATTTTGGTTGCCGGAATCCGGTCACCGGAATATGTTTTTTTGTCACCAGAATATGCTTGTCGGCGTTGGAATATGCTTACCGGCGTCGGAATCTAGTCATCGGGGCCGGAATATGTCTATCAGCGCCGGAATCTACTCACTGACGGTCGTCGGAGTTTAGTCAACGAACTTTGTTGACCGGTCAATGGTCAACGATCACCGAATATTGTGGTGTGCATTGTGAGATTTATGGTTTGGTTTCTCATATTTTTTTATGCATTTTGTGGTTTGCTTTATCGTGTTTCTGGTTTGCGTTAAGAAGTTTCTGGCGTGCTTTCGAAAATTTTTTGGTTTGCTTTGCGGGGTTTCTGGTTTGTTTTAATAGATTTTTGGTCTGCAATAGGACGTTTTTGTGGTTTGCTTTATCGTGTTTCTGGTTTGCATTATGAGGTTTCTGGTGTGCTTTCAAAAATTATGTGGTTTGCTTTGTGAGGTTTCTGGTTTGTTTTAATAGATTTTTGGTCTGCATTAGGACGTTTCTGGTTTGCTTTAACGCGTTTGTGGTTTGGATTATGAGGTTTCTGGTGTGTTTTTGAAAATTTTGTGGTTTGCTTTGTGAGATTTCTGGTATGTTTTAGAGCATCTGCGGTTTGGTTTAGGAGGTTTCTGGTATGCTTTTTGTGGTTTGTTTTACCGCATTTGTGGTTTATATTAGGAGGTTTCTGGTGTGCTTATAAAATATTTATGGTTTGCTTTCTAACTTTTCTAATTTGTTTTTATGTGATTTGTGGTCTGTATTAGAAGGTTTATAGTATTCATTTTCTATTTTCCCCTTTTTGTCCAAACCCTAATTGCTGCGAGCGAAGTCGAACTCTTACACACCATTCCCGAATTCCTCCCCACTCTACTATCTCCTCTTCACACAGCTCTCCTTCCTCCTAATCTTGAATTACTTCCCTTCAATTTGATCTCACGAACTGAAAAAAGAAATCCCTTCAATTCCACCTCTTTCTTACTCCCATCCTGCCCAATTCTGGGCTCTTTCTCCCCGCTTTCAATTCTTCATTTACCCGATTTCCCCCCGGTCAATTTGTATCTTCTTACCCCTTTGCTTGTTGGGATTCCCGGAATTGGGCTGCTGCTGCTGTCGACTTAACATTTGTACCGGATTAATGATATTATAATTAGGAAGTAGATTGGAGATTTGGAAAACCTTACATTGAGCTTCTTGGTGTATCCTTGCCTTACGGTGTTGCTGTCGTGGCAGAGGCGGTCGAAGAAGAGGAACCGTCGGAGGCCGTGCTTCCGGCCGAACCTTGACAGGCAGAGGAAGGAGAGACTAGCGACAGCGATGAGGAAATAACGCCTCCGCCGGTCGTGAGGTTCGTGTAGCGCCAGGCCTTCCACGTTCAACAATGTCGCCATCGCGATCCACAGGCGAAGCACTTGTTATTCCTACGAGCGACGTGGAGTGGCCAGAAGGTTCAGATTGGGCGGCGCGGCGCCGGGGGGAGT